CCGCCCTCTCTTGTCCCCGCCCGGCCGGTGCCGTGCCCAGCCTCCGCCGCAGGGGCTCGCAGCCCGGTGTGAGCGGCGGGGCTCCGGCTGTCGCCGGGCTGCGGGAGGGTGGAACAGGCTGTCGCGGTGCTCAGGACGAGTCTGCCGGGTCCCCTCAGTGCTGTCTCTTACGTGTCTGTTTACTCGTTCCTCGCTGAACACGTGCGTTTTTTTCTCCTCCAGGAATCCTCTTCGTTGACCCAAAATCTAATCATTTTAGAAGTGACAGAGTAAGCTAGGATAGTCCTTATGTGACCGTGTAAAAACAGGGCTGAACTGCCCTCACATGTGGCTCATTTTGCTCCGTCTTGCTGCCTTTTCCTCTCCTTTCTCCTTGAAGACGTGCGTGGCACCGTGCGCCTCCCGGGTTTTCACGTCTGTTCACAGCTGAAAAAAATCTAACGCTGAGCACGGGGGAGCTCAGAACTCTTGTGCTTATCATGTGTTACCTAGTTCATGTTACAGGCGTTTTCTTGCACGTGTTCATGTTAAAAAATTTATTTTAAAACATTAATATGCCTCCAAACGATAGACAGTGTCTTGTCTCTTTGGTTTTGGGGGCCTTTTCTTTTCTTTTTGCAAGCATTTCTATAATCCTTTCTCATTTTTATTATTTTCATATWGATTATTTTTCARTAATTCATCAAGAMACCWACTATATCCCGTGAGGAAGCTGCAGTGTTTACTATGTAACACATCGTTGTTCCGGAACGCAACAGGAGGGGGAGGACTTACACTGGTTTTGGGGGACCATCGCCAATTTGTGACTAGGCTGACCCGGAGACAAGCCAAAAGCATTTGCGAAAAATGACGTTCAAAAAAATTAAGAGGGGAAAAAAATATAAGCCATCGTGAAATTTCATACCTTGGTGTACCGAGAGGCAGATGTGATTTAACTCGAGTTCTAGAGTAGTGCTTAAGGTTCTTGTTGCTTAATACTTACTTGYCTTGGTTACTGACGAGAGTTTAATCACTCAGTTTAAGAAAAAAAAGCAGCAACAAGTCTGTGCTTTTGCAGTGTGCTTTTCTGCTACAGAATTTCACTAGCGAAAGCTGTGCCGCAAGACAGAACCTGGTGTCAATTTACAGGACTTTTTTTTTCCACAGCTTTGAGTAGTTAGACCGTCATAGATCCACCCATAGACCTCCTTTGCTGTAAACCAGCAATTCCCTGCCTCCTCTTCCTGCTAGCATTTCAGTCCAGAAGTTAAGGACTGTGAAACTGAAGACTTAATTCCTTCGGCAGTAGTCAGCATTTAGGCAAGACGGGAAACAATGCTTCGGGTGATTGTGGAATCTGCTACCAACATCCCTAAAACCAAGTTTGGGAAACCAGATCCTATCGTTTCTGTTATTTTTAAAGGTAAGGAAAACTGTCATTAATGTAGTCAGGGAGGAAGTTTTGTGAAAGGTGGTGCCCTTTGTAAGTATTTGAAAACCTGGAAAACATGTTTTCCTGAAATKACATCTGATGCAATTTTAGGGAAGATGTTTTAATTAGAGACAGGAGTCACCTGAATGAAGTTTGAACTGGGTGGAGTGCATTGCTCTGCTCTGATCAGCTGGGCTTCAGYTTTAGGATCCACATTTTACAAGCTTTTGCAAAGGATTAGCCCTTTGCTTTTAAAACAAATCTAATTGCATAGATGAACCCACTTTTAATTCTGGTATTGAAGATTACCTTATTTTCCATCTGAAAAATCATTCCTGTGTTGATTACTTTGAATAACCACTGCTCACTGTCACACATATTTTTATTGTGACTGGTTTATTGTTTTGACAAGCACTCTGTTGAAAAAACAGTAGTACCATTTCTTAAGTTGTTTGGGTTTTGGTTTGGGTTTTTGTTCTGTTTTCACAAACAGAATTACACATAAAAATTTTGCCTGTGGAGATTATTTAATTTGAAGATTTAGGAAGGAAACTTTTTCACTTAGAGTGCTCGTCAGTTATATATAGGAGAAGACTGTAATAAAATTAGCATTTATATGTAAAGCTAATTATATTTTATGATGTACCTCATTTGTTGCCATAATTTCCTCACTGGGCTAGACTAGAGGAACTTGATTTCAAGTATTGATTTATCCTTAAGGTGCCAAAACCTTAAAGCAGTTSTGGATCATGCAATACATCAAAGCAAACTGTGAAAAACAGGCATCTTAACTCCTGGTGACATGGTTTCCTAACTGTGCACTGAAATCCTAATTGTATTTTAAAGTGTGAAAAATCATTGCAGGGGTTTGCCACATTTAGAAACCAAATCTGAAATCATGGCAGCTGGAGGCTGGGAAAGGACAAGGCATTGCACATGCAGAATCTTAACTTTCAAAGTAACAAGCYTTCAGATACGTTTATTTCAGCATCAGAAAGATGTGAAATCGTTCATTTCCYGTTAGTTTCTTCCTTTTTTCAAGGCTTGGTTTTTTTTCTCCCACCCTGTGTGTTAGAACAAGTGACAGAGCCTGTCTCTGTTCCTTTTAGAACTTCATAATCCTTAAAATATAATTTCCCTTGCCCTGCAAAAAAGTAAATTCTTTAATTTCTCTGGTTTGTTTCACATTCTGCTGCTTCTTCAGTGTCCATTTTCTTTATTCAGTTCCTTGTCTTTATTTGCTCTCCTGTCACAGTTTTGCCTTTCTGTGTTGCTTCTCTTCCATTTCATACTTCCAGTTTCATACTCCAGAGCTGGTTTATGCCTTCCCTTCTTTATGGTTAAGTGTCTGTTTAATCCTTATAATCCCTTTTGTTCCTACTAATGCTCTAATGCAGTTCACTTTTACCCAGTAAATATAAGTTACAGATTTTATTTTTTTTTCTGCATTGCTGGATTTGTTTTTCAGCCTTTCGGTCATCCAAACACAAGAATTGGACAGCAGACATTAAAAGAATGCATTTATATTTACCCTAAATGTACTACAATTGGGATTTTTAATGTTCCTGAACATGCCTAACTAGTGTCAGCTTCATAATTGTGATAGGTTTTTAGAGGATATTTTACTTCTCATTATCCTGCCCCTTCTATTTACGTGATTTTACTATATACCAACAGTCTGATTTTTTGCTTTCTGTTTCAAGTGAGAGAGGAAAAACCAGGCTTTTACCAGCTATTAAGCAGCTCTGAATTTGTAAGTGGAGTGCCTGGTTGCCAAGTGCAAGGGCATAGGGTCATCTGAAATATGTTCAACTTCTGGCTGGTTTTGTTTATAGATTTTTTTTTATGTACACTGCTGGTTCCCCCCTTACTCTGTTAATATGTGGAGATGGRAAACCAGTCTTATTTTGGAAAGGTTCATGTCAAAGGGCATCAGTCTTTAACTTTAGTCCCTACACAGTGTAAATCCTGGGGGACAAAAAACACATTTGGGAGTGCATGTTCTAGACTGAGAAAAAGTCAAGCATTTGCAGGACTTTGTCCACGGCCCTGCTGCACGTTTTCATGTACTTGTTTGACTCTGGAGTATTCTTGGTGAAGTCTTAGTGAGCASCACTCATTTGACAGAAAATTGCTGTGGAAGCTGGCATTTCATTAGAACAGCATTTTTTTTTCAAATTTTAATTTACAGGGCCTTTGCTGATGGGTTCAGTAAATTTAAGACTCCCAGGGAAACAGAGTCTTTCGGTCTCAGACACTTACAGCCAAGCTATGAAGAAAATGCTCAGGATCCAACAATCTGTTAGTGTGAAAGTGACTGCAAATGTTAAGACATMTAAGTTAACACGGTTTCATCTATGAATAAAATAGATTTCATCTAATTTGTTTAACTAATCTGGTTACAGACTAGGCAGTCAATGTAGTTAATACAGTGATATATATTAGCTGCATATTAGGAGGAAATAGGCAGCTGTTTCTGTTCAGATGTCTTACAGCAGAGAAGTTTTGTGCAAGCATTTCTATTTTTTTTTTCTTTACACGTTTATTTCCAGTCCAATGGGATAGAACTTTTATTTACTTTAAAAACAGCTCACTGTTCAAAGAGAACTACACCCTGAGAGTAAACGAATATCGCTCTCTGGAACTGGGTGCTGTTCTTGCGGAATTCTGAATTTGTCACTCAACGTGAGACAAATCATTAGTCAAATCAACACTAAACTATGGCCATTTGCTAAAATGACACTAAGTGATAATGATTAAATCATTATAATTGCTTTGGTTTGTTAGATTCTTGTCTCAGTGTAAAAAATGATCCAATTGCCTGTATGTGCAGCCAATRCTAGAATACTTTGTGCTTTGATCATTTCTTTTGACTGCCTTATTCCAATTTATGAGTAAAACCAGAGGTAAAATGGATTTATCTTGATTGGGCCAGCTTGAATAAAATGTCTTTTTCCATTTGTGCTTAATCTAAGGACTTTTCAGCAGGCCTGCAGTAGTTCATAGTTATTTTAGTTTATATTTCAGTAACTGAAAGAAAATAGTTTTAGAGTGTAATTA